GAACAAAACGATCATGATTAAAAGAAACAAAACCCAAACTCTGAATGGAATCAAGGCCCAGGATGGGCATTAAATCTCCTGATACCAGGAGAAAATCAAGTAAATGCTCGGAGCCATCCTTCGGGTTTATGGCCTTCATGGTAACGCAGCCCTTCGGTTGTAACTTTGATCCGTTCCACATTCTGAGCTGTGTCTGTATTTGGCGGTATTCTGCATCGGGACAGTATTTGTGAGGAAGTATGTTCACGCTTGCTCCTGAATCCAATTGGAATCGCACCGGACGCCCTTGAATAAGCAACGTTGCGAATACACAGACTGGTCTCTCACGTCCTGTCATGTTGTTAATAGCCAGTTCCTGCGGCTCTTCCTGATCGTCCTGCCCGACTGAGTCGACTTTGGTTGCCTGACAACAACGTGCAAAGTGGTTCTTCTTCGCACACTTCATACAGGTTCGGCCCCATGCTGGACAATCCTCTTTGCGCCTTGGGTGTGAGCGGCCGCAAAACTGGCATTTGGGTTGATTCGCGCTCGATGACTTCGATACAATTTCTCGGCCTCGGGATACTGCAAACAGATCCGTTGTGGACTCCATCTTGAGCTGCTGAAACTGTTGAGCCGTCCTTGATTCGCTAAAACAGATATCGATGCAATGTTCCAAAGACAGGTTTCGCTGTCGCAAAAGGCGTCTGGAAAGTTCCTCATTCTTTATGCCAATTATAATTCGATCGCGGATCAGCGAATCTCGTAAACAGGTGCAAAAATTGCAATCCCGCGCCAGAATTTTCAGCTCCGTGATGTATGCGTCGATTGATTCACCCGGCAGGCGATTTCGGCTGAAAAACAGATACCTTTGGTAAGTTTCGTTTGTGTAACCTTCGCAAAACTCGCCGAATCTGCGTATTACTTCATCCAGCTCCATCTCCTGAGTTCCATCGCTGAGATCCAACGTTTGCAGCGTCCGCCTGGCTTCGTCTCCAATGGCATGCATGAACATCGCCAGTTGATAGGCCATTGGCTGAGAATCCAACTGAGTCAGTGTTACAAAGTCTAGCCACTTCGCCTTCCATATTCTCCAATTCTCCGGCAACGAACTCTCGGTCATTTGCAACGGAGCTGGCAGCGGAATCGTTGGTTGTCCACCAAACGCATGCGGGGTTCGGCGTGTCTTCTTGTCCTCTGTCGCCATGTAAAACGTGCGGCCCTCCGGCAGAAAGAACAACAGGTGGCGGCGACACGAAAATCTTTATTGGCGAGAATTGCTTTCTTTTTATATCAGATATGACCATTTCCTGCGCCCGTTTCTATTCGGCTACTACACTTTCATGCATTTGTCTCCATTTGCCAGTGTCCTTTGATCCTGGGCGTTTCGCCTCCAATCGTTCGGTCGTAATTCGTCCATGGCATTTGCTACAATTGGTTCCCCATGCTGTGTCTTGACGATCAAAAACCAATCGGCCGATGGGTTTCGGTTCAGTGCCTGCTCTTTCTGGCCTATGGACGGTCGTTCGCGTACCGGATTGACGTGACGCTGATTGGTCAGGCGTCTGATGCAAGTCCTCGATCCCCTTAACGTCGCTTACTCGTTTGCGAGCCGTCTCGGGTTTTGATTGGATATTCGGACCACGCTTGTTTGCCAGACGCTTTGCCGAGCCGTTGGTCTGTTCGTCCGATCGGTAGCTTGTGTGCGCCACTGGTTGGCGGTGCCGCGAACTGATTGCGATCTCCGATTGTGTTGCCGATTGGTGGAAACCAGTTCGCGCTGTTGGCTGGCGGTTTGGCACGTAAGCTACCATCACAATCATCTCAACAGATCGCCCGTCTAGGAAAGAGAATGGAGGGCAAAAGTCGGCCCATGAGGGTGACATTTGCCGAAGAAGCAAGTACCAAGTTACTATTGTCTCGCCTTAATAGGCTGAAGGGTATGAAGATCCACGTACGCGCTGACTTAGAACCGGCAGACAGAGAGAAACTCAAGTCTGCCATGATTGAACTAAAGCGGCGCACGGAGGATGGAGAAACAAACCTCCGTATCGTAAATTTTCGAGTAGTTGCCCGGGTTCCTCCACGAATCCGGATCAACAGGTTGCTAATACTTCAGGCGCGCCCAGCGGGTCCTACCGCGGTCTGCGCGTAGCCTTTACTAACGTATGCAGTTTGATGAACAAACGCGATGTGCTGTACGACTTCGTAAGCTCTCAGCGACCGGACGTATTAGGCCTTGCTGAGACATGGTTAAACTCCGACGTAAACGCCCAAGAACTGGAAATCCCCGGCTACTCATGCTTCCGCTGTGATAGACCATCAAATGATCGCGGTGGCGTTCTACTTTACATAAAGTCTTCCTTGTGTGGGAGACTAGTGAGCGCCTATCAAAGCGCTGATGGTCTATGTGAGCAGTTATGGTGTTCGATACACCTCAGACGCTGCGAGTTGCACGTGGGCGTGGTATATCGCAGCCCACTGAGCCGCAGTTTGGACTGGTTGCCGCATGTCCGCAACCACATGAGTCGTCCGATGTTCCTACTCATGGGCGATTTCAACTTGCCCCGAATACAGTGGCCTGAAGCTGAACTTCTCCCCGGCCACTGTGAAGTCGAGAGGAAGTTTACGGAGTTGCTATTTGAAACTGGGGCCACACAGCACATCAACCAACCGACACGCATTACTGCGCGCGCAACTCCATCATGCTTAGACCTGCTGTTGACTAGCTGTGAGCAGCGTGTACATAACATTCAAGTCTTAGAGCCTCTGGGAGCGAGTGACCACTCAGTGGTCATAGGCAGTTTAGAACTACCGCTACCGTATCCTCTCCCACTAGAGTCAGCCTTCAACTATTGGAAGGCGGACTTTAATGGCCTCATTCGAGCAGCGAGCCAGATAGACTGGTCTTTACCACAGGATTCATCTATTGAAACCTGTTGGGCTATCATTAAAGAGGGAGTGAAATCGTTGTGCGCCCGATTTGTGCCCCTCAAATTTCGGAAAGTTGGGCCAGTCAAACCACATTGGTTTGACAAAGAGTACAACAAAATGGCCCGACGGCGACGTAGACTATGGAACAAATTCGTGTTATCTGGCTCTGATGAGGACTACAGTGCCTACAAGGTACAACGAAATCGCTGCAACAACGCGAAAACAAGAAAACGCAGAAGCTTCGAAGAGGAGCTTGCAACTGCCGCAAAAACTGCCCCCAAGAGGATCTTCGCATATGTGAAGCGGCGCCTAAGACCTATAGCTAGTATTCCAGTGTTAGAAGGCTCAGAAGGACAGCCTCTAACCTCGAGTACTGATCGTGCGTCAGCATTGGCAACGCACTTCGCCTCCGTATTCGCAAGTGACCAGGTGTCTGTAATGAGTTCGACGAGCACCGCTCCAGCCGAACTTAACAGCCTGGACTGCAATATTGAGGATGTACGCAAGATTCTAGCAAATCTTGACGGGACGAAACCTGCTGGGCCAGATGGTATACACCCTCTAATCCTCAAGTCATTATCGACCATAATTGCACCTTCTGTAACTGAACTGTTTAACAGGTCACTATCCACTGGTCTACTACCGGACGACTGGAAATGCTCAGTCGTAAAGCCTATCCCGAAAGGTGGTAACCCAAGCAAAGTGGATAACTACCGGCCGATCTGCCTGACGGCAGTTTTGGCAAAGACGCTCGAGAAGATCGTGAAGAAGAGCCTTCTGCAACTTCTCGAGTCGAAAAACCTGTTAACCTCCGCACAGCATGGTTTCCTGAAAGGTCGTTCGTGCATCACCAACCTACTGTTGACGAGGCACGAATGGTTACAAGCGCTGAACAAAGGCCAATCGGTTGACGTCATTTACATTGACTTCAGTAAGGCTTTTGACAAGGTTAACCATGCAGTGCTCCTTGACAGACTGAGGATGTGCGGTGTTGGTGGTTCGCTGCACAAATGGATCAGCAATTTCCTTATTGATCGGAAGTGGAGAGTCCAGGTGGACAACCATCTAACAGACTGGTATCCATCGAGCAGCGGCGTGCCCCAAGGCACTGTACTGGGCCCGATATTGTTTCTAATCCATATAAACGATGTGCCTCAGCTACTACAATCACATTGTGCTTTGTTCGCAGATGACTTGAAAGTGTGGAGAGTAATCCGCACACTCAATGATTGCGATTTACTTCAGCAGGATCTCGACCGCCTCTCAACATGGTCTGCAGAGGTTAACCTTCCGATCAACCCTGCCAAGTCGCAATTCATGAGGTTGGGTAAGTGTGATCACGGCCGAACGTACACAGTGGCTGGACAACCGTTGCATCCCGCTCCTTTCGTGCGCGACCTCGGTGTACTCTCACGCTGCGACCTAAAGTCCATTGACAACACGAATAGGCTGTACCAAAACAGCCTTCGTATGCTTTGGGCTCTCAGGCGCAGCTTTAGCACTTGGTCCGAAGAGATTGCCACTCGCCTCTTCGTCTCGATAATACGACCAATGCTAGAGTACGGCACTCCCGCATACTGTCCCATCACCCGGGGCGAAGTAGAAAAGCTTGAGCGGGTGCAGCATGTAGCCACTAGGCTGATTCCCAACTTACGAGGTATGCCATACGAAGACCGATGTAAGAAACTAGGGTTATACACCCTATCTTATCGTCGGCTGAGGGTTGACCTCATCATGACGCACCGAATATTACATCTGGGTGATTACCCCATGTTGAGACAACTACTTCATCTGCGCACACAAAGCTGCACGCGAGGACACCGGTATAAACTTATCGTCCCGGATTTGAAGCGGGTCGCCCATCAACTCTGTTTCGAACGAAGAGTGGTGAATGTCTGGAACGACCTGCCTCAGCATATAGTAGAAGCGAACACAGTGGCTAAATTCAAGATGCTACTAGACAAACAATTTGCAGAGGCAAAGTACAAAGAGCGAAACGATAAATAAAAAGTTCATGTCCGAAAACGACGAACGATGCAGCTACACAGAGCAACCTCTACTCGCTGCTTCCCACCAGTTCTCAGTTCTCAGTTCTCATCATCATCATCATCATCATCATCATCATCATCATCATCATCATCATCATCATCATCATCATCATCATCATCATCATCATCATCATCATCATCATCATCATCATCATCATCATCATCATCATCATCATCATCATCATCATCATCATCATCATCATCATCATCATCATCATCATCATCATCATCATCATCATCATCATCATCATCATCATCATCATCATCATCATCATCATCATCATCATCATCATCATCATCATCATCATCATCATCATCATCATCATCATCATCATCATCATCATCATCATCATCATCATCATCATCATCATCATCATCATCATCATCATCATCATCATCATCATCATCATCATCATCATCATCATCATCATCATCATCATCATCATCATCATCATCATCATCATCATCATCATCATCATCATCATCATCATCATCATCATCATCATCATCATCATCATCATCATCATCATCATCATCATCATCATCATCATCATCATCATCATCATCATCATCATCATCATCATCATCATCATCATCATCATCATCATCATCATCATCATCATCATCATCATCATCATCATCATCATCATCATCATCATCATCATCATCATCATCATCATCATCATCATCATCATCATCATCATCATCATCATCATCATCATCATCATCATCATCATCATCATCATCATCATCATCATCATCATCATCATCATCATCATCATCATCATCATCATCATCATCATCATCATCATCATCATCATCATCATCATCATCATCATCATCATCATCATCATCATCATCATCATCATCATCATCATCATCATCATCATCATCATCATCATCATCATCATCATCATCATCATCATCATCATCATCATCATCATCATCATCATCATCATCATCATCATCATCATCATCATCATCATCATCATCATCATCATCATCATCATCATCATCATCATCATCATCATCATCATCATCATCATCATCATCATCATCATCATCATCATCATCATCATCATCATCATCATCATCATCATCATCATCATCATCATCATCATCATCATCATCATCATCATCATCATCATCATCATCATCATCATCATCATCATCATCATCATCATCATCATCATCATCATCATCATCATCATCATCATCATCATCATCATCATCATCATCATCATCATCATCATCATCATCATCATCATCATCATCATCATCATCATCATCATCATCATCATCATCATCATCATCATCATCATCATCATCATCATCATCATCATCATCATCATCATCATCATCATCATCATCATCATCATCATCATCATCATCATCATCATCATCATCATCATCATCATCATCATCATCATCATCATCATCATCATCATCATCATCATCATCATCATCATCATCATCATCATCATCATCATCATCATCATCATCATCATCATCATCATCATCATCATCATCATCATCATCATCATCATCATCATCATCATCATCATCATCATCATCATCATCATCATCATCATCATCATCATCATCATCATCATCATCATCATCATCATCATCATCATCATCATCATCATCATCATCATCATCATCATCATCATCATCATCATCATCATCATCATCATCATCATCATCATCATCATCATCATCATCATCATCATCATCATCATCATCATCATCATCATCATCATCATCATCATCATCATCATCATCATCATCATCATCATCATCATCATCATCATCATCATCATCATCATCATCATCATCATCATCATCATCATCATCATCATCATCATCATCATCATCATCATCATCATCATCATCATCATCATCATCATCATCATCATCATCATCATCATCATCATCATCATCATCATCATCATCATCATCATCATCATCATCATCATCATCATCATCATGGTCGTCGTCATCGTCATCATCATCATCGTCAACGTCATTTTCATTATCATCTTCATCATTTTGTTCATCATCAACGTCCTCATAACCTTCGTCGTCATCATCAGCATCATCATCAGCATCATCACCGTCATCTTCATTATGATCATCAACGAAAGGCAACCAAGAACGTCAGGGGCCTCGTTCCTCTCCCCTAGCAACTTAGACTGAAATCTATATGAATTTACAGCAGTCGATATCGGCTTTTGCAGGGGATCTCATATTGGTTTACCATATTCTGAAGAACCCAAACCACATTTGCCGTCCGCTGCTGGAATTGAACCACAACACTAAACTAAGAGGTCACTCTCAGAAACTGGCAATTCAGTATAGCCGGCTGGAATGCCGTAGAAATTTCTTTTCTCTCCGCGTGTGTGAGCCATGGAACGCCCTCCCTAATTATGTCGTCTCTGCTCCCAAACTGGCGATAGTTCAGAAACCTGTTGACGATGCATTGTTTCACTTACAGTTCATTTTTTGACTTGTTAGCCAGGGGCTCCGCAACGCATTC